TGTTGCTTCATGTCCGCGAAGCCCTCCTTGAGGTTGATTTCGTGGTCGTATTCGGTGTGGTCTGGAAGTCGCGCAGCCGTGGCTTTGTCGAAAACGGGGAGCAGATCGTGTAGGTAGGATGGTACCATTTGTGGTAGCGTTCTTTCTGTCTTGCCTTGGGCATTCGAGGCTGCAAGTTTGGTGGAAGTGGTGACGCGCCTAATGTCGTGGTGGACCTTCCAGATCATGCCGTTGTGAAGTTGTTTGTAGCCAGATGAGGGTTCAGGGAGTTGCTCCTTGAGCGGAACATCCCTCATTGCCAGGGGTTCCTGTTTCTCGTACTTGGTGATCATCGGTGCCCCAGATAAGTAGGAAATGATGAACTCATCATCGTCGATGTCCTCCGCTTGTTCCTCGATGGACGCAATACCCGTTGACCCAAACCCATCCTCCCCGCGTTCAGTCTCGTCGACGCAGTCGGTTAGCGTTACTGGTGGAGTGCTTATCCTTTCAAGGATGAGCTGGGCAACTCGGTCGCCGGCTTTGACGGTGAATGGGAGGTCAGAGTTATTGACCAGCAGGACCGAGACCTTGCCTTGGTAATCGGAGTCGATTACTCCTGCGGCGACATCAATTTCTTTTAGTGCTAGACCGGACCGAGGTGCGATTCTTCCGTAGTGTCCTTCGGGGATAGCCATGATAAGGTCAGTGCCGACCAGGCCTCGTCGTCGGGCAGGGATGATGAGTTGATGCGCAGCAGAGATGTCATATCCTGCTGCGCCGCTAGTTTTTCGTTCGGGGAGGGTTGCGTGTTCCGAGGTGGGGATGACGACGAATTCATCCTTCGTTGGTTCTGGGAGTGGGGTAGTTACGGCCTTCTTTAGTTCTAGCCGAGCCACTCGCCTTTGGTACAGGTCCATCTTCCAGGCCCTGGTCTCGTCTTTTGTCCACCGGTGATTCAGCTCCACTCGTCCGGTTTTCCAGTCTATCTTGGGGTTCTCGAGTTTGAGCCAAGTGTGGCTGAAGATGATGTCTTCCTTGCCGATGCTGGCGACATAGGCTTTGACGAATCGGGGTTCTCCGCTTATCTTGTAAGATAAGAGAGCTCTTCGCGTGATGAGTGCTTCTTTGTTCGGGGTTCCATCCACGTTGAAAACGGGGATGGGTCGGGGAAGGGGTTCTGTCCGAAGTCGATGTTCTCGGACGAATCTCGGGCTGATGAAGATTCCAGTTGCGCCGCTATCGATGAAAGCGCGCGCCTCGACGTCTTTTCGTCCCACAGTAATCGGAATGTGCAGAGCGCGTTCATTTCGGACTACTAGAATTACACGGGACAGTGAAACGGATACGGGCAGTGGTTGCGTCGGCTCACCCTGCCCCTTCAAAAATCCTCCATCGTAAGTTCTTCGTACAGCTCCTGCTTCTCGTCAGCGGAGAGTGCCTTGATTCTGGCACGGAAGTCGTCCTTCCCAGATCCTCCCGGGTTCGGCCTTCCACCCCCTTGTCGTGCGGCCGCTTTCTTGCGGCAATCCTTGGCGCTGTGGCCCTTGATGTGGCAGTAGAAGCACAGGTTCCCGTCCCTGTGGAGCTTCCGGTCGGCCTCATTGAGAACTGCTCCTAGTTCCCACTTCCTTCCTCCCGACGTGGAGGCAAAGGTTGCCGCGACTGCAGCGGCATCGATATCCATTGGCTCGCCGTAGTCTCTGGTGTCAGTGACGGTGAGGGCCCCTTGTTCGGCGGCGTCGGCGTTTCGGACTTCGTCGTACCAGGCTTTCATGGTGCTGGGTCGGTCTCTAGCGACCCTGGTTGCGAGAGAGACATAGAGCTCCTTTGGAAGTCCTTTGACGAAGTTGGCGTGGAGAGTGTGGTAGTCGTTCTCGGTGCAGTTGACGCCATTGACTTCGGCGTCCTTGAGCTGGGCTTTCGATGCTAGCTGCTCGAAGCAGGTGACGTAGTTTCCAAGGGAGAGCGCTGTCTTCTTGTTCTTCTGTCGTTCGGGCAGTTTTATCAGGATTTGGTGCGCCTTGATTCGCGTTCCGTGCTCAGGAAACACTTCCTCAAGGGCGGTGGCGAAGGCCGCCCAATCGGGATAGACCTGGACTCCCCCTGCCGACTTCTCGTAGTATGCGTCTGCCCATGTCTTCCCTAGGTCCTTCCTCATCAATGCTACAGTGAAGGCGATCTTTGCTTCATCGCTAAGTCTGGTGTTGTTGGTGGTGACGAAGTAGGAGAGGACACATTGGATGAAGCGTCTGAGGTCCTCCGCCTTTCCGCTGAAAGGTTCGGGAGCGGGGATGTCAAGGTGAAGGGGTCGGTTGGCAGTTGACTGTTGGGATTGGTATGCCGCAAGGGCGACAGCGATGCGCTGATCAATGTCTGCTTGAGTGAACGTTGCCATAGGGACTTCAACCGGTGCGTTGGTTGGTGCAGGTGGAGCTGGTGGTAGTTCTGGAGCCTCGATGGGAATGTACTGAACGTCCGGGAGTTCGAACGGTTGTTTGTTAACAGGTGACTGTAGGTTTTCTGTTGTTTGTGCTGGTTCGACGTTGATTCGTAGGGTGGCGAATACGTCTTCTGGGTGAGCGGGAGGGTGTCTCTGGTAATAGCTGACAAGCTGTTGATGGGCAACGATCTGCGGGTTGGAGCCTTCTGCGCGAACCCAGGAGCCGCCTCGAGGATAGATGGGAGTCCTTCTTGTGGTGGTGACGAAGCAACGGTCTGCTCAGTCGTACTGGAGAAGGGGAGATCCTGCGAGGGCTGGTAGTCCCAAGGGAACCGGGTTTACTGCGTTGTTCGACGTGATGGTGGATGAGTTGTTCGACTAGGTGAAACTAGGAACGTAGCTTAGAAAGTTCGACCTTTTGATACAACGGTCTATACTCCTATACCGATGCCTGACTCGTAGACAACGAGCGAGGACTTGTGGACAGTACGTCGTCCTGAAGATCGAGCGAGGAAGTCGAGAATGACCACTACCCCAAGCGAAGAGGAGCAGAGACTTGAATGAATAACCAGGTCGAACTTAGAGTTCGACCGACTAATGGTACAACTACTTATACAAGTACCGACTACGCACGGACCATCGTGTCTATGTGGTCGTGTTAGTGAAGAAAGGAATGTAGTGGTACGATGCCGAGTACGAAGTGCGCACGGACCCCATTATGTAAGCTACATAATGTTCAACCTGCGGGTGAGCGCTAAGACAGGCGCCAGTATGGGCGCTAGTAGTA